CACCATTTTGTTCACCATTTTATTTTCTACAAGTTGACCGAAGAAAAATGCTCAACTGCGAAGGTGAGCCAGCGGAGCCACCGCATCGAAAAATTCCACTGCCAGTAAGTTTTTATTTTTCGATTTTTTTGGACCAACCGAGACCTCATAACGTGTTTTCTCATAGGGATGGGTATAAAATAGGCCAAAACTGGCCAAAAATGGCCAGGCCGAAACAAACCGCCTCCGCATACGGCAGTGCCATTGCTGGAACACGGCGGTACTGCTGTGCCGGAATTCCAAAATTGGCCAGAAAAGGTTTTTAACACCGATTTTAGATTATTTTAGATATTTCTAGGTACGTAAAGCATGTTTAATCTCCGCATAAAAATTCAGAAAATTCGATGACCGCCAGTAGGTGCAATAGAAAGTTTAGTATTTCGGATACTAATTCGAGTAAGAATCCTTCACCTTATTCTATGTTATGGAATTGAAGTTTAATTATCAATAATACAGTATTTTGTGTAATTTAAAAAACTTCGAGAATTAATTATAGGTTACTAATAGAGACAGAATTGGTTATTCATTATTATTGTCCTATTTAACTAATTAATTGATTTTACAGCTTTAAATGCATTATAATTTACTGAAATTGATAAAATGATTCAGTCATGTTTCCTTGATGCATGTATTGTTTGTCTTGCGTTGATTTATGGTTAACTTGTCAAACTAAAAATTAAATGTAAACAAAAAATCGATTGATTAAGTGAATGAATGAAAGATAGTATTACTGGATATCCTGAGAGATATTGGATAGACCGGATATATACGGAACCATACCGTTAACGTCGCCTCATACCGGACGGGGTATCGAGGACTGGTATTTTTATTATATATTAAATTTATTTTTAGTACAATTAGTAAAATTTGTTTGATCCAACTACTTTAGATTTTTTATTATTCAGTAAACTATCAATTCACTCTATTTTTTTTTCATACCTATTTCGACTTAGAACATGTGAATGACTTGAATCCCGATTTAGAAAATAAAAATATATTAGTTGGATTTGTATTTAAACTGAAAAATTATTTTATTTGGAGAGTTTAAACTTTTTATGTAATAGACTAAAACGACATCATTTTAGAAAATCCCAAAATGGTGCTGTTTTAGGTAAAAAAACAGAGGCGTGTTTTCCTCTAGTCAAGATAGGTGAAGAGGCAGAGGCATACATGCCTCTGCCACCAATCGAAAAGGAAAAAGAGGAGACCTATATTCTGAGGAGGAGGGGTCGTGCAGGACTCCTCTTGCTCTTCCTTATAAAACGTGAAGAGAGGAAAGAAGATAAGTGCAGGAAGAGAGAGAAAAAAAGAGAGGAAGAGGAAGATATAAGGATAAAGGCAATGATTATCATCAATCAGCAACCGAGAGAAGAGAGGAAGATGAAAAGAAGAAAAATGAGGAGGAGAAGTCGATGTTGTGCACGACGATGTGCAGGAGGAGGAGAAGATCTGCCGACACGTGTTTTGCAATTTCGCTGCTCCCTCCAGCGCGATTCCACCATATATGTGCCGGATCTGAGGGTGCGAAGTGCTCTATGGTGAATTTAGGCCAATTCGCAGCGATGAACGGTGGCAAGGCACGACGGTCCAGTGGCGGCACGTGGTGGTCGGGTGGTGGCACGTGCGGAGGTGCGCGGACTTCCGATGGTTGCACACAATGAGTCCTAGGAACCCGGTTAGGGTAGATAAGTTCAAAAATCCTGATGGTTTACCATTTTAGATTTAGAATTAATTAATCTTATTTAATTTTAATACAATAAATTATTTATCCGGTTTAGAATTAGGAATAAATCTGGACATGGATATTTGAAATTAGGAAATAACCAATTCATTACTAACTCGATACAGATATCACTGTAACAGGTTGATCTTGTACATCAGAGATAATTTCACGAACGAGATTTAGACAAAAATCAGGTAAGTGCGTAAACAGTTAGAAATGTAGTTTAATCTTTTTGAGATATTAAAACTGGGACGTTTAATAATTGATAATTAGGCGCAGGAATCCGACGGAATTTTATTGTTGGTTGTTATGTTCTTATTTATGCTTACTACTGAAATTGCTGATGAATTGTTTTGTTACGTTTTGTAACTGAATTCATATATGTACTGGTTGCTATATAAGTGAGAGTATATTAAGAATATGTAGAAGAGTTTAGGGTAATGAATAGTTACAGTATGTGTGTTATAGGTATAGAATATATTAAGCAATAAAAATTAAAAAATTATTAGTGTGTTGAAATAAATAAATAGACATTAAAAGATTTAGAAAACACACTTAACTAGTATCACCGAGGGGCATATGTGTGTATAGCCTTTTGGCGTATGATTGTAGTGAACTCTACTCGTGGATACGGCTTTAGTCAGATGTGGCAAAGTGATAAAGACTATAAACTGTATACTGCGTACTGCAAACTATGAACTATGAACTGAATTGTAACGTATTCACATGGTAGGAGGGATCCTTATTGCTTTTGTTGATACTGGCGGAAATAGCATCGCGCGATGAAATTATTTTAATAGGATATAAACCGACATGAATGAATAGAAAGTTATGTGTAACGTTTATGATACTGAAGTACTGAATTAACATCTACTACACTGTTTACTATCTAAATTGTGATACTAAATACTGAATTATGTTATTTATTAAACTGTTTATACCTTCAGGTATGATACTGAAATAATGAATTCTGAATGTTTACTGAATAAACTGATTTAGAATGTTTAGTAATTGAATTAGAGTATAAATACTAGATGTTTTTTGAATTAAAGAGAAAAATATTTTGAACTATCTCCGTAGGTAGTTTTAATTTTTCTATCAAATTGGACAGATTATCCTATTATTTATTAGTACTTAAATGCTTACTAAATATATTAAACTCACACTATTTATTATTCATTTCTTTTAGATCAGAATATTTAGAACCCCGTTCCTGAACAGTAAAAAATTTGTTAGGAGATCGTTTAATTTTTATTTTAATTCAAATAATACTTAATGTTAATTATTTTATTTTTAGTGAGTATTTATTTTTAGAATTTAGACATGTTTCGTGAATATTGGATATTTTGAGCTAAGTACGTAGTGGATGTACTTTTTATTATTTCAAAATTTGTTGCGCGAAATATTTCTATACATTATTTTATTATGATATGGTGTGCGTACGCTCAGAGCTTTAGATGAGAATTCGACCTGTTACACTTTAATATTCGATTTAATATTTCAATTTAAAGGATTTATCGATTATTGAATTCTTAAGGTGTATTTTCATTAAGTTTAAGATTGTTTTAATACTTGCATATTCTTCTGCAACTTCAGATTTAAAGTTACACCACCCGTATAACATTAAAAATAAATAAATAAAATAAAATCATTTCATCTTCATTTGAAAGGTAAAGTAGAATTCATATACCCCACCAAACTTAACGAAGAGACCGCCAAGTAAACTGAAGGTTGAGAATTCTGATCACACTTCATCCTGAAAATTTGAAGCAAGATTTCAATCTTGAGGCACAACCAGACTCTTTACCATGATTCAGAAAATAAGATAAACTCACTCATCCCCTGCCCAGCCAAAAGGACTCCACAGAAGATGCTGAAACTGAAAATATAAAGTAATACCCATTATTAGTTCTGAAACATGTATTACTATCTCAATAATAATTTTGATAAGTAAAAGGATTGAGCTACTTAAATAATTCAACAAAGTAATGTACCTATTAGGGGAGTGTTTCTTAGTAAATCGCTGATTCGATGATGCAACAATTGCATAAATGTATTTTTTTCTTTGTCTTCTTCATAATCGTCTTCTTCTAATGTCTCGTTAAGATACACCGTAATTTTGTAATAGTTGTTTTCATTCTAAGAATGTTGAAATAAAAAGCTCAGCGGTTGTACTATATATAAAGCCTGAATGTAAAGAATTCAATAAGATAATTTGTATATTATCTTAGAATTTAAGAAAGAAATACGAAAATATAGAATTCAATAAATATAATATCTTCAAATTTTGAATAATTTATATATATTTTTAGAGATCTAATATCTTATAAATATAGATAATCTCTATACATATAAAGAAATATTATTATCAAGAGGTGCAATGTATTATAAAATATAAATATTATTTGTACCTCCGTAAATTTTTTTTAATTTGTTGTTAGGTGCAATTTCTTTTAAAACCTGAAAATGAACATATTTTAAAGTTTATTATAATTGATTAAATAATATGAAAATTGTTGTGAGAAAAAAATATCTTTGAGGATAGTTTATAGGCTCTTTGACAGTATATACATTAATACAATTTTTTTACAAAAAGTTATTGATATATATTTACTAGCATAAATTTACAAACCATATTTATCAATTTATATGTCTGTAGAAATGTATATTATATTACTATTTATATAAAAATTAATGATGAAAAATTTTATCATACTCAATAAATATAAAGTAGAATACAGTTTTGATTTCTCATAAATTTAATTATCTGTACTTTTTAGATAAACTAATACAGATAAGATCAAAATATTATTTCTTTTACTTTCCACTTATAATAGTATTTAACTATCAAACTAATATTAATTTGAGAATTATAAATTATTTGACAAAATGAAACTGTTATGTTAAATATTAATTAATTATTGTGACTAAATTTAATTTAATTATGGTAATTTTATTAATACAATAATAACATAAATATTAAATTATATATTATAAATCAATAATTATAAAATTATAATATAATAAACAACAAGTTTTATGATTTTAATGAAATTTGAACGAACTTAATTATAAATATATTATGTTGGTGGTTAAATTTTTTTATTAAAAAAATATTTTATAATAATTAAATTTTTTTAACTAATGCAGTAACATTTAATTAAAAAATTTATTTCCATTTTATTCAACTGAAAAAAAGAAACGTAAGCGAAGATAAAAGAATTTGAGATTGAAGTCATTCATGGGGCAACTCATATTATATACCTCAAAACAAAAGATTTTACATATAACATAGGCTTCATTAGTGTGAGTCTAAACGCTGCGTTTCATTCAATCACCAATTAACCGAAACTGTATCTACATTCCATTTTCGGTTTTTAATTACAACCCAAGAGCACCCAATGGAGTCTTCCCTTGACCGGCTTCAAAGTAGAAGATCAACATGGCCACCATTGCAATCCTCGCGTGCTTGATCTCAGCCAGCTTTAATCTATCCAGCTTCTCTGTATCAGGAATATACACGCCGTCCTTTATCGTTCCGGCTAACCCCAATGGGTCAAAGAACTTACCGCCGGGATATCCCTGTTCGCCGGTCGCGTTAGCGAAGTTCTCCGCAGTTCTCGACCATGGAGTCGCCCACTCCACCGACTGTGAATCCGGGCTGAAGAAGTCAACCCAACGCTTGCTCTCCACCCAACCCATCAGAATCAATTGGGTACCCAAAAGTGAACCGAAGGAGAAAGGTGCGATGGCACCTGGGTCAGCTCCGGCTTCGAACCAGGGCACGCCGCTCCAAGCTTGGCCGACGAAAATGCCAACCACGGCAGCCATGGCCCAACGTCCATGGATCAGCTCAGCCTCCCTGTACCACTTGAGAAATGCAGGGTCCTTTCCTAGACCCAGCGGGTCAAAACCATAGTCACCAGGGAGTCTGCATTGTACCGCATAAAATTAATCAATCACAATTTCAAATACACAGAATCCAAGTAGAATTTACGAGTATGAGAAGCGAAGATTAAAAGGGGAAACATACGAGCCGTCGAGCCACTCGGGGTCAATGAAGTTACCACCACCTTTGACGGCCGGGATCCAAGACTTCTTTGGCGGAAGAGCAGCGACTACGACGAACTTGCGAGTTGCAGCGCCGGCGGCGGCGGACCCAGATCGAGTAGCAAACAAAGCCTGGTGGGTTCTCTTCCCTCCGGAGAGAAAAGAAGAGCCTAAGCCATTAAGCAAGGCACCGGATGTAGCAGCCATGGAATGTGTCTGTGGGTGAAGAAAAGAAAAAAGGAAATGGAAAAATGTGGTGGGAGCAGGGAGGAGATGGTGGTAGTGAGGATTTGTAAAGAGGAAGGGAAGTGGGATAATGAAATCTGGAGAGGAAATCTGGTGAAGTGAGTTGGATAGATTTCGGACCAATCATAATCTCATCTCCATCCACATCTACGTCTTTCTTCATGCCACGTGGACCCTTTTTTTGTGTGGTTTCTACTTGTTTCAAGCACTTACATATCATTCATTCACCCAGCAAATCGTTTTTTTTAAATTCACACACATATATATATATTAATTTCTTACATATCTTTATGATTTTCTAATATAAATTTAATAATTTTTTCAAAAAAAAATTTGCATGTATTCATTTCTAATAGAACTCGGAAGTCATGCACATAAAATATATTAATTCAACTCCATACCCCGATAATTAATTTTTTTATTATAATTTGTTACCAAGTACTAGGAATGTTCATTTCGAATTAGGTCGAAATTTAAAAAAAATAAATAAATACAATTTGGTGACAAAATCGTTCTTTATTTCGTCCAATCTAATTTAGTTCGGATTTAATAAAACAAACTTAAGTTCAATTTGAAAATGAGTTGGATTTTTATAGACTCTATGGCACAAAATTGTGTACAGGAATGGAATGGAAAGAGCGAAAACTAGAAGCTACAAATTGTCGTTGTTTGTATCTTTGTCTCTTTGATTTTTTGGTTCTTGGGAAAATAGTTAATTGCTAATATTTTAGGTTTTATATTTTTATAAAATTTTATTTAGAAAAAAAAACATAAATAATCATTTCAGACTAGGATCAAACCATTCTGGATTGAATTTTTCAAATTCATAAAACTACGGAGAGATAACTGTTTGAGTTTTAGTCTGATTCGGATACTTACCAAGAAATTAAAAAATGTATTTGCTAAATATGATATTAGAGTGTATAATTAAGAAATTAAGTAAGAAAATGTGTTTTTACATTTGACAACTAAATGTCTAAATTTATTTGTAAACCATTTGAAGATATTTCAATTACTTCATATATCAAATTTGCATTTATTTTTGAAGGTCCCTCAACTTTAATCTCTCTCTCTCTCTCTCTCTCTCTCTCTCTCTCTCTCTCTCTCTCTCTCTCTCTCTCATAGGTTCATGGGTCACCTTCCACACGATTTTTCCAACTAAAAATTCTTAAGTAGTTTCATATAAATCATATCTTAAAACATAAAACCTGTTAATTTTAACGCAAACCCTTTGCATGCACAGTCTTACTCTTGATTGCGCATTTATGAACAAATGTCCCTAAATCACTTATGTTATATAGACTAAGATCGTCATATTGATGTTATATTTGTCACATTTTCTTTTATATATTATTTAAAGTATAGTGAAATATCTATATGAGTATATTTATGTTCTAAGTAAATTTTTAATTTTTTATGTTATTTATGATATTTGTTACTGATATTGTTAAGATTGACAATCTTCTAATATTAAATACAAACAATTAGTACAGACACTAAATGACAACCAAAGGCTATTATACATATTTATTTTTATCCAACATCAAACACAAGTGTCATGTACACAACCACCTAGTTTCAAACAAGTGTCATGCACATTTACTTCGATTTAATTTCAAACTTGGGTGTCGAATAAACAATCAGAAAGTTTTGAATGCGTGCAATATGAATATCTATTTTCACTCGGTCTCAAACACAAATATCATATGCGCATTTATGCAGTTTGAAAATGAAAGTTTGATATGCATTGGCCTAGTTTAAAAGATAAGAGAAATCTTCTCAAGCATTTTCATGGTTGTCTTGATAGGTGTTACTCTGATATTATGATTGCTGTTTGGAACATCATATCACTCATAGGACTACTTACTCCATGTCTTGTTGTAACACCTCGTTATTGTTGGAGTTGTGGATGACATGACACTTCTATCTCTTCATATCAAGCTATCAAGTTATGAAGATCTTCAATCAACAATGGAAGCTGATTGAGAACCATAAATAGTATTGAAACGAATAGAATCATTTGATGCGTTCTCCTATACTGTACAATATGAATACAATTATTTAAATTAATTGTTATAATCATTTAAGACATCAGACCTCTAATTTTGTCAATCAATTTAAATACATATCTATATGTACGTACATATGGATATATATTCATACACAACAGTGAACACTATTAACAATAGAGTCCTATTAGTTTGCTCGATGAGCTTTTGCGTGTCTCTCTCCTTTAACCTCCAACCCTTAAATCGACTCGCTTTCAAGGAGTTGGTTCTCCATGTTAGTCGATTCAAATATAAAACTTAATCACAATAAGAACAAGTATTATAACACCGTTCGATAAGCGATCAAAGATTTTGTTGGTCCTATAAGTTCTGTTACCCTATAGTAATTCAGAAACAGAAAATAAGAGAAATGAAAATGAAAGAAATTCATTGTAATTATGATTATATGA